CTGAATCTCTGTTAGAGATTTCCTGGCTTACAATCATTCGTGCCCAGTTCCTATAGAAAATATTAAGTAGACCTTTGCTTTATCAATTTTTCAAAGTATTTACATAAATATATATTTTATTCTATTAATGCAAAATACTACATTCATCTGCTTTTCTGTGGAAACCTAGACTATAGGAATTTTTCACTTTTCTTTGCAGGCAGAAACATTTTTCTCATTCTTGCTCCAGCTAGCCACTTTATAAAAATCAACTGTTCCGTCATGCTTATTGAAGCTCTTTTCTACTTACTTCTTATCTAGATAAGATACTGCCCAATTTATGAGTAGCTAATAACCACCAATTATGTCTTTAAATGTAAATTGTTATGATTTTGTTTTTAAACATGCTCTCGTAAAGTCATATTTTATCCCAAGAGAAAAGTAGGTTATTTGTTGAATTGGGTAACAATAGAAATAAAGTGATAGTACTCTGCCAGAATAAATAATAAAGACACACAGAAGTTTTTTAAATCTCTTAAAAATGTTTAAAAATATTTACACAGTTTTAGTCAGAGTGTCACTGGGACTAATATTTATTTTTCAGCTAGGTTTTTAAAATAATGAACAATTCCTCTATGGAATACTTATGAGCAAATGAACCTGAATAGAGCATGATATAAGAGAGAGTAGCGTGAAAATTTCTTAAGCTCTCTAGAAGAGACTTGAAGATGCAAACAAGAACAATAATTACACGTGTTAAGAAATAAATAGATCAAGATAAAGAAAGTCCACTTGAGGATTTGCAGCTGGGGACATTTCATGCATTTTTGCTGCATTAAATGAGAAAAACATAAGAAATGAGTGAAATTACTTGTTTGTACGTGTATGCATAGATCTAATTTATAGTTTTATATGCTTCTATTTTTCATGAAAAACATTCGTCTCTCCTTGCCTTAGCAGCTAACTCATGAATGTGGTTTTCTCTCTTTCTAGTTCTTCACCAGTCTGATTGCTGTGGCATTACTAGGGTAACCTAAGAGATTTTTTTTTTTTTTTTTTTTTGAGGCGGAGTCTCGCTCTGCCGCCCAGGTTGGAGTGCCGTGGCCGGATCTCAGCTCACTGCAAGCTCCGCCTCCTGGGTTCACGCCATTCTCCGGCCTCAGCCTCCCGGAGGCTGGGACTACAGGCGCCCGCCACCTCGCCCGGCTAGTTTTTTGTATTTTTTAGTAGAAACGGGGTTTCACCGTGTTAGCCAGGATGGTCTCGATCTCCTGACCTCGTGATCCGCCCGTCTCGGCCTCCCAAAGTGCTGGGATTACAGGCTTGAGCCACCGCGCCCGGCCAGAGATTATTCTTATAACAAAGCAGAACTTAAAAATTATAAACCTTGGAAGAACGTTAAGATTGACATATTACAGTAAACAAAATTCTAAAATAAAGCAAAGAAAAATGTAAAGCTGAAAAGTCTGAGAAATCGTAAGAAGACAAAATACCAGGATTAATCAAAACACCTAAGAGAACAAAAGATAGAGATAAAAGACATATAACAAGAATTCTGCCTTCAGGAAATAATGTCTTCTGAGAAGATATTTTTTTTTTTTCTTTCCAAGATTAAATTCCCACTCCAGGGCCTGAAAACAATGTCAGAAATGTCATAAAAATTAATTTGGTGTCAAAAAGTAAAGTTTTTAAAAATCTGACAAATGTGGCTTTGAACGTATATGATTAATCTCTTTGGTGTATATTTATGTACTTTAATAAGTATCCAATATTATCTAATTTTAAAATATGCTGAAAAGATAAGATCCTAAGGCCATTGTGAGAGAAATTCATTTTACTGATGTCCATATGTTCACAGATTTTTCAGGATTAGCAATATTTTTCAATGTCTTTCAAAAATTGGCAAATACGTTATTTTAAATACTTTATATAATGTAATGCAACAAAAAGTGTTTTTGTGTATCTTCAATTTGTAAAACCTAAGATCAAGAAAATTTTGAAATACACTATGATATATAGGAAAATGCTGAAATATTATTTTTATATTTTACATGATTGAAATCTCAAAATAAAGATACTTTTTAAAAAGTGAAAAAAGTCACAATTTAAGTAAAGCTGTTAAAGATTACTACTTACAAAGCGAAATAAAATAATAGCTATCAATAATTATTGTCCTGACACAGCTATTGAAACTAACTATACTATTGTATTGTCAGCTATCCACTTTTGCAACAGGACATTTCTAGGATATTTTTGTAAGCTGCTTAACTTCAGTTTCCTAATTATTAGAAGCAGGCTCTAAACCACACAAATACAAACAGCATTCCTTTAAAAGTTTAAGATTTCAAGTAATTGCTATGTCTATTAGTTGACATAAATTATTATAAAAATAATACTTTTGGCCGGGCGCCATGGCTCAAGTCTGTAATCCCAGCACTTTGGGAGGCCGAGACGGGCGGATCACGAGGTCAGGAAATCGAGACCATCTTGTCTTAACACGGTGAAACCCCGTCTCTACTAAAAAATACAAAAAAAATAGCCAGGCGAGGTGGCGGGCGCCTGTAGTCCCAGGTACTCGGGAGCATGAGGCAGGAGAATGGCCTAAACCCAGGAGGCGGAGCTTGCAGTGAGCTGAGATCCGGCCACTGCATTCCAGCCTGGGGCAACAGAGCAAGATTCCGTCTCAAAAAAAAAAAAAAATGCTTTCTTTTGTCAGGGTGACTGCACATTCTTTTACATATAAATTCGACCTTGATTCATGTACTCATTTTCCAACAATATAAATAAGATTTCGTTATTTTTGTTTTACATACAATTTTCTTGTTACATCTTTTTACTCTATATTAAAGTCATTTTCAAATGTCTTCCTACTTACTACTGTAATCTAAACTTTCTGGAGACACTTTATTAGATCGAATTGGTCTAAGTCATTTCAAAGGTGGCAATTCAATTCAATTACTAGCTTAATGAGATCCATGTTTTATGCTATGATAGAAATAACTATTAAAATAAACTTATTTTAAGTAGAAATACAGCAAAAATACTTATAGAGATAATCAGAGTAACATGGCTCATATAGTTTATGTGATTAGATAAAAATATGAGTTTGATAAAAAGCTCAATGTATTAGAAAATACTGTTATAAAAATACAGCTAACAACTATAATGCAATAGTTAGAAACTTAATCCACTATATTTTATATATATATAAAATCCACTTATATATATATATATATAGAGAGAGAGAGAGATCTTTTTGGCTTTGTTCTTTGTCCCTTACTATAATGCTTTTCTGGCTCTTCAGCATAACCAATTCCTATATCACTTCACGGCAAAATAAAAAATGTCAACTTCCTCGAGAATTTTAAACTGAGTAAGCGTATTTCAAACAATTCTATTCCTTCCTGTATAGGCTTTCCGTTTAATTACAAATTTTAAATAGATTGTACTCAAATGTTTATAAATTTTAGGTACATTGACTATTTGCAATTTATTTCTGCATTCTTTAGATGAATATATTGTCTTCCACATAAGACTATTTTGACAATTTACGGCATGTTTTCTGCGTTTACTGAATTAGTCTTTATGTTTGGCATAATGCTATATGTAGAGAAAGTACTCAGTAATTTATCTGTTTGTCCTAAAATAAAGTAATATGAGAGCTCTACTTACTGTGAAGTGTAATTAATTTAATGCATTAAATTGTGAGTTTCATGATTATTTTCACAAAATACATATTGTTTAAATAATCTAAAATATTAAAAATGTTCCCTAGCAGAACTCATAGAATATAGAACACCAAATGTGAACCGTTAGCAAAATTCCAGGGGTTCAGTCTTGGTCTGGGTGCTCATAGCACGAAAGCCAGTGACTGAGACTATATGTGTTGCCAAAGAAGAAGGCTTTAATTGGGTGCTACAGCCAAAGAGATAGGAGCTGTCTCAAATCTGTCTCCCTGACTGACTAAAACCAGGAGTTTATGTAACAGGGAGGAGATGTAACTGTGTAAGAAAACAGGAACTATGGAGGGGAAAGGACACAGTTATGATGAATGAGGGACCTAGCATCTTATTGTCTGGATGTGATGACCTGGTGAGTTTTAGTTCTTTGATACTTTTTGAGTGGGCTAAGGAACCCTTTCCTGAGGAAGGAACTCAGATAAAATAAAAGTATCAAGCTTTAAGAACAGAAGGATCAATTTCATTGTTTATACAAAAATAACTGTCTATGGGACTATTGGATCAGTTTCAGAACTTTAAACAATAGAATTTTGGTTATCATGGTCTGCCATTGTATTCATTAATTTCAACAAATGTGCCATTCTGTGAGGGATATTTATAATGCGTCAGGCCAGGCATGTGTGGGGACATGGTTATATGGGAAATCTCTGCACTTTCTATTTAAATTTTTTCTATGAAACAAAAGCTGCTCCAAAAATAAAGTTTGTAAAAACAATATTTGTCAATAATTATAGACATTTTTATATTTAACATTTGGAGTAAACTTTATTGAGAAAGTATAAAAATAAAAATATAATTGAAATACATCAAATATAAACATTTTTAAGTAAATAAGAGACTAATTCATGATGTAAATTTATTAATAAAATTAAACACTATAATTTAGATGAATAGTGTGAAGGATTTCTATGTGAATGATACTTGACCAGTATAAATACAGGAAGTAAAAATGTGCCTAATATTTTGCTTAAATAGAAATAAATACTTGTATCAATTAATGTCTTTAGTATATACAAAATTTCTCTTTATAATACAATGAAGTTTAAATATAAATTAAAAACAACTTTGTGAAGAAAAATTGAAAATGCTGGCGATTAAAGGGTCAATTAGAGTTAAATGCTAGAATATTTATGCCAAAGGAATATTAAGCAAACTATCGTTTCTGAGCTCCTTGTAAAACTATGGTTTCCATACACTCTATCATATATTGCTCTTATAGAAAAATTAAAACCTATTTGAAAATAAAGCACTGTAATGTAAATTCTAATATATAAAACTTACATGCTTTGTGAAACTTTTGCTTAACATCATGAATAGTAGATGATTGTGTCACCTGAAAAGGAAAAGAAAACAGAGTTATTTTTAAGAGCTGTTAATTTGTTTTCTATCCATTTAAGGAAAAGAAATTTTAACTATATCCTAAAATTCTTACACAATAAGAATTTTTGCTTGGTTTATCTTTTTAGTGATTGCTAGTTTGACAAACTTGAAATGTTGCAATCAGCAAAAATATAATTAAAAAAATGTTTGTATACAACAGTAATAGTTTTAACACATTAATTCAATCCAATTTTTATCCGTAAGATATATTTTTGAATTTTCTTTGTCCAAAATATTCAATGTATTTTTCCACATCTCGTAAAACTATCAATTAAAAATATGTCTTAATGCACAGGAAACTAAAATAATGTATAGCAATAGTACCTGAAGATGTGAAGTTAATTTATATGGACAAATGAGAGAAATGTTTACCTCTGAATATCATGAGACAAAAGTAACCTTAAGCCCCCTACTGACATTATTTAAATCCCCAAATAAAAGTACTAAATGTCCATTAAAATGCATGTGAGATTTTTTTTTTATTCCTTAAGTACATAGTAATTTGTCAAAATATTTGGTTCTAAATAACTAAAACGAACTCTATAAATTAAAAAATGGATAAAATATTTTTATTCTTCTAAATTTGAAAATTATTGAGGACTAAAGTTCCATACAAACACTTCAAGTCATCACAATACTTTTTTGACTTTCTGAATTTATCTCAAAAGACATTTTCATGATAATTCAAGAAAATATATTTCTTTTCCCTGAATAAGCATATGATACTAGTGAAATTTATTATAATCATATGTTTACATGATTTATTTATGCTACACTAAAATCCCCTTATAGCTGTTTTGAAAGGGTTAAATGAAAAACTCATAAAATGTTGGTGCATAATAGTCCATAAGAACCATATAGTTCTTAATACTGTTACATTATGTTTGATGTTTTATTATTCACTGAAAGTATAACAACAAATACATCTATTTTTACATATCTCACCCTCTACTTAACAGGATTGTGGCTAAGCATTCAGTATACTGTTCAGAATTTTTTTATGATTTCCTGTGTGTATATGATTTACTAAATAAGAGAGTTATAAGATTTAAACCCTAAAAAGTAATAGGAATTCCAATTTGTGTTATTCTGTTAATAGCAAAATGGTCCTAAAACATTCTGTGTATATAAAACTATAAATATTTCATGGCATTGCTCTTCTCTGAAAAATGTTAGAAAAAAATTTTAAAACAGTTTATAGGGAGAGTAATATGTATTTATATACTTTTGCATGTATTTTAATTTTGGTTATTAACCTTTAATATTTAAATTTAATTTTTAAAATATTGTTTTAACAGTGTCCATTGTTTCATCTCAATGTTTCTTATTCATTCAGCACCTTTATATGTTGCTTTTTCTGACAGAGTGGAGTAAAGACCGCATGATATTCCCTAGAGTAACAAATATTTGTCCATTAGTTATATCAAGGACCATGTAATTTTAAATAAAAAATAATTTTCATGATCAATAATCCCTCAATTTGGGTTTGATATGTGTTCATCTAGCACTTTATGAGGGCCATTATCTTGTATTATTCATTGGTTGCTCAATCTATACGGAGCTGAGGATAATGACCTAGTATTACTGTTGTTTTGTTTTGTCATGTAGTACACCACAGAGCATACAATAAGTTTTAATTAACTTTTATAGAAGTCAGAAATAAAGCTGAGTGCAAACATGTAAAAACAGAGTAAGATCAAAGTTTCTTAATCTGATATGCAAAAGCTGTATGCCATTCTCCACACCAGAATAATGCAATTGACAACCTTCTAATTTGATATATGCATTTTACTTTGAATTTTCTTATTTTCAAGGCTAACATCATTTTCCTGAAAGAAACCTTCATGTGTAATAGGGATGTATTATAAGCTCTTAACATTTTAGAAAAAAATCATTTGACTTTCATGTGTTAGAAAAGTGCTGATTTTGAATAAATCCTTGAGAACTGCCCTTTCTGCAGTAATTTTGCACAAAATAAATCAGAAAAATTAACTACTAAATGATTCAGACATGTATTAAATTAGGCACAGGATTGTGCTTTTCTGCTCTTTTCAGTCCTTTAGTTGTACTGAAAGCACAAGGAGAGGAAAATATGATAATTAACTGAGCATATAAGAGCTTCTGATGACTAAATTGATGTCTCAGTGGCTTCATCAGGGAGTTTAGTTATCATAACCTCCACTTCTTAGTCAGTTTTACAACATCTTAAAAAGGATAAACTATCATCGTGATAATTTATTCATTTCCATAATTATACAGATGGGAGAATGTGGAACTCTACATTTGAAACCTTAATATTCCCTTCATTAATGTTTCTTTCTCTTAAAAGAAAATGAGTCTTAAAATAGTGAGTAGGGAAGTCAAATGATGGTAGTTAAACCAAAAATTTACTTCAAATTTTAACTGATTATAGTTAAAATTTGAGTTATTATTACTTTCTCTACATTTAAGTTGATGAAAACAAAAAAGCTTTTTTCATTCAAGCATTTAATCTAGAATTTGTTTGAATGTGCCCAATATGCATTTACTACAGTTTTTCACAGAAACCTCTTTTTATAATATTGCTTCTTTTTAAAACCATATTTTAGCCACTTTCACAGTAAATTCTTAAAATGGACAGATGTCTCCAAAATACTGCACATCCTGATTAGAGCAATAAAATTAAATTATAATGAAAAACAGCAACCACTTGACATTCATTTGATGGGGTTGTTGTAGTATAAAAACCTAAATTTGTCAGTAAACTTTTTTAAAACAAAGAACTTGTCTAAAAGTAAATGTATAGAAATAAAACCAAAGTGAAAGATGAACTGATATAAATAATTAGATATAGTGGTGTGAAAATGCAGACACAGATACACAGAGAAATACAAAATGTCAGTGCAGGTTTCCTACCTAAACAGAGCTGTTTTTCAAGACACAAGGAAGAAAATTGCCAAAAAAATCACATGTTAAGCTGATTAATTCAGGAAAATGGAAAAAAAAAATAGCTTTGAGAATTTCCATTAGAAGATTTTAGGCCAGACTTGATGGCTCAGGCTTGTAGAATAAACTCTTTTGGAAACTAAGGCAGAAGGATCACTTGAGTCCAGGGCTTCAAGACGAGCCTGGGCAACATGGCGGAAATCCTATATCTCAAAAAAAAAAAAAAAAAAGAAAAGAAAAAAAAATTAGCAGGGCATGGGGGATGTGTCTGTAGTCCCAACTATGCTGGAGCCAGGGTGACAGAGCGAGACCCTATCTCAAACAAGCAAACAAACAAACAAACATAAAGAAGGTAGTAGATTAGCAAATAGAATGTATATTTGCATATTTTATTCAGAATGGACAAGGATTTTCTCAGTAAGCAAATGTTATTTTACTAATAAGTAACCTTAAGATTGCTCAGATAAGTAAGCAATATATGGAAAATAATTTTTATTTTTATACATTCAAAATGTGTTCAGTATTTTGTAGAATAGCAAGAATTTTCACTACAAATAAAACTGACAGTACATAGTGAATCTGAAAAAATATGAGTTTTAACAAGGTTTAGATGTTTAAATTTAACTGAATTATACTATGGTTTCTCTTCAGATCGTATAAACCTTTCGCCTTTTAAATTTAACTGAATTTTATTTATCTAAAAAATTGAAATGTTTTATATTATATCAATTTCATTTATAAACTAAATTATTTAAAATTAGCTCCTTGTTAAGTAAAACGATATGTGTGTGTGTGTATATATATGTGTATGTGTGTATATATATATCTATGCATACACACATATCCTGCTTTTGTATCATACAAAATGTTTCTTTTTATATTGCAATAACAATTTGGTTAATATCAATTATGCCTTTTCTATTGAAAAATAATGTAAAAATTAACATATAAATTGATTTTCTCATATTATTTACCAAAGAAAGTTCATCTGAATAATGCTCTTTTATATGAAAAATTTTATTTCTAGGAAATTATGTGTAAATTTTACTTAGAAGTACAGCCTAAAACATTACTGGTCTGTTATTTATGTGTGCGCGTGCACACACACACATGCACACACACTTGACCCTTGAACAATGCAGAGGTGCCAACCCTCCATGTAGGCATATTTTAAAACAATTTGTATTGATATCTAATAATTATATATATTTATGGGGTTCATGCGCTATTTTAATATGTACATAACTTGTGAAATGATCAAAACAGTATTTAGAATATCCATCACCTTAAACACTTACCAGTTATTTGTGTTGGAAGCATTTCAAATCCTCTCTTCTAGCTATTTTTAAATATACAATATATGTTAATTGTTAATTATAGTTACCCTACTATGTTATCAAACAGTAGAAGCTACTTCTGTTATCTAACTGTATGTTTCTACCCATTAACTAACCTCTCTTCATTCCTTCACTATCGTTCCCAGCCTCTGGTAAATATATACTGTACCTTTATGAGATAAACTTTTTAAAGTGTTAAACTTCTTTTTAAAACACGACACATGAATGAGAACATGCAATATTTGTCTTAAATGCCTGGCTTTTTTCACTTAATATAATGACCTCTAGTTACATCTATGTTGTTGCAAATAATAATTGATTCTATAGCTTGGTTATTGTGAATAGTGTTTCAATAATCATGAGGATGCAGGTATCCCTTTGATATGTTGATTTGCTTTGCATTGGATGAATACCCAGGGTGGAAGTCTGGAATTTATAAAAGTTCTATTTTTGTTTTCTGAGACACTCTCTACTCTTTTCCATAATGTCTGTACTAATTTCATTTCCACTGATAGTGTATAATAATTTCCTTCGATCTACATCCTCACCAGCATTGGTTTTGTTTTTGTTTTTCCATAGTAACCATTCATACTTGGGTAAGATAATATCTCGTTGTTGGGCAAGATAATATCTCATTGTAGCTTTGATTTGTATTTCCCTGATGTTAGTGATGTTCACCATTATATATCTG